GCCTCCTTGCCCCTTCTGCAGACATCACTGTCACCTACACAGCACTGCTGCTCTGAGCCAGGCTCGCAGCTGATGGGGCACAGGAGGAGCAGCTGGGCGGCCAGGCCTCGTTCATCTGCTCCCGGTGTCACTGTGGGAGGCGCATAATAATCATACTGACAGTAGTAAGTGGCGGCATCCTCAGGCTCCAGCTGCTGATGGTGAGCGTGAAGTCTGTCCCAGACCCGCTGCCACTGAAGCGGGCTGGGATGCCATCGGGCCTGCTGGATGCAGAATAAATGAGGAGCCTGGGAACCTGCCCCAGTTTCTGCTGGTACCAGGCCATGTAGCTGCCAGCACTCTGACTGGCTCTGCAGGAGATCGTGGCCTTTTCTCCTCGAGACAATAATAGGAAGGCTGGAGACTGCGTCAGGACAATTTCTCCAGAGTAGCCCGAATTTGGAAATAAACACTGAAGTCACCATTATTATCTCTACCCTCACCACTATCTTCTCAGCCGAAGGCTGATCATCACTGAGCTCCCATTATTGACTTACTGAGCGAAGAGCCAGGTCCTAGTAATGCACCACCCATAGTGTTCTTGAAGGCAGCACCCTCCCGGGTCCCTCACCTGGAGGAGGCAGCAGGAGGCAGAGAAGCTGCACTGGGGCTTCTATGGTGCCTGTGTCCTGGCTGAGGCAGCTCTTGCCCAGAGCCTGCCCAGCCTGAATTGGGCTCTGGGCAGCAGGGGGCTGGGGGCATGCAAAGCAGGGGTGGGCACCCTGGCCTGCAGCTACAGGAACCAGAGGCCTCATGTTCTCTGCACGGAGCAGCCACCGGCATGTCACAACCCAGTCACACCGGGGGTGTCTGGTCCAGGTCTGATGAAAAGAAAAGGCTTTTGTCCAGTCTCACTTTGTTTCCCAATATGACGGCGCATCTCCCTTGGTGCATGACTGGATGGGTTGGACTGAAGAATTTTTCAGCAATGATCTTCCTGTCACCCCTTTCCACTGATCTTATGTGACCTACCCTGAGTTCCTCCGATTTATTTCATTTTTGTGAGATCATAAATACACAAATAGCGATTTGGTCTGAGGACAGTCACCATCACACAGAGAGCAGGACCAGCTTGTAGCCCGCAGCGTAGTGACTGAAACCAGACATGAGGAATGCCAGCAGGGGGCGCGCTTCCCTGCAAGTGGATTGCGTGATCCCTGACCTGCCAACTCTGAGATTGTCTTGCCTAAATAACTGCACACTGTCTCTCCATTTGTGGCTAACAGGACCTCAGGTTACATGTACGGGGCAGTTGCTAAGCCTCTGATGATGCCGAGTGTTTGATGATGGGCCCTGTTGGGACCGCTTCCCTGTGAACTTTGCAGTGAGAACAGACCCAGGAGCCCACACAGGTCCCCGGGACTCCAGTGGTGCCGCTCAGCTTCTCCCTGGGTTCACACCGACACCCCGACCTCATCACTTTCCACACTCAGCCAGAGGTTAACTCTAAACAATTTGTGTCTGGTTGGCGACTCTGCCTGTTGTCTTCACGTCCCTGTGTCCTCTCCCAGTAGGTTTAAATCCCCATCTTCCGAAAAAAGAAAGAAAATCAGTCTCATAAGATACCGTTGTTGTCCACAGGTATGTGGGCTGAAGGTAACCCCAGTGTTTGGGATTCAGGAACCACTTTTCCTTCCTCAGAGCCGCGTCACACAGAGGGTTGCAGCATCCTGAAACGTGAATATCGATTCTCAGTCAGCGCTCTGAGGCCAGCACGGCCACCCACTGTCTCAGGGAGTCATCGGCAGGGAAGGGGAGGGAAGTGGACTAGGAAGTTGGGACAGAGGGTGCCCAGATATTGTCCTCCGGAGAATATGTCAAGATGGCTCATCCTGACAGATCCAGGACACAGCACATTCCTCAGCACTCACAAGAAATGAGCTCACAGCCCATGAAGGACGCGCGGGAATCTTCATTCTGCTGGAAGACGCCAGTCTGAGAAGGCCACTCACCATGTGATGATCTGAGGGACCTTCAGGGAAAGGTACTTGTGGGACAGTAATGACATCAGTGATGTCAGGGCTAAGGGGGTTCCAGGTGCGACAGGGAGGAATCTGAGGGCAGGAGACTGCCTGTGGAACACTGAGGGTGGACACTCACCACTGTCAGTCTGTCCAGAACTCCAGAGTACACACCCCCAAGTGTGAGCTCTCTTCTAACCTAAGGATCTGGGGTTCTTCATCCTATTTTCTCTCTGTGGAGGCTGAAAGCAGAAAAGATGGGAGAGTCTGTGGAGGAGGTTTTATGGGAATTCTCCTTATTTTTGCTATGGGAACCTACGTGAGCTCTAAAGTAATGTTTACTAAGAAAGCATTTGCTTAAAGAAAAATAAAGAAAAGATAACCTAGCTTTATTTGTCTCCTATGATGTCCCTGACTGATGCCATCAACAGATAACTTCATTGTAATCACGTCCGTCATTATCAAATCAGCAGACACTTACTGGAACATAGAACTTTCTCTAATTATCCAAATGTCACATTTGTGCTGTCCAGTATGGTGATATTGGACTTGTGCATAAGTTTGATCCCCACCTTCCCTGGAGGTGACCACATGGTGCGGCAGACCTCTCCTGGCCCACCCGCTGCTCCCCTCAGCAGTGTACTTTGTTGATCTGCCTGTTCTGTTCCCCACTCTGTCTCTGGTGAATCCTCTCACCACCCCCCCTGCACCTCTGTCCTGTACCCCAGTTCTCTGTGTATAAATAAATAAATCTTTATAAAAATGTAGAGCCCTGATAGTTATTATGTATTAGGTGAGTTTTACTGTAAATTCAACTTAGTATCCATATACTTCTTATTGGGTTTCAGTAAAATTGTTGTGGCCTGAGAGAGTGTCCAGCTGAGGAACACTTTGCATCTCTACACTGAGCTTCCCACAGCCGTCATGATCCCTGACACGGCAGGTTCTGAGCCAGCTCACCTGGGAGTTCCCACTGCCCATTTGTGTGACGTCAGTCAGGCTCATCAGGCTTTTTCTTCAGTTTTCATAATGTGGAAATAATCGTAGGTCCATGATTCTGTGGGATCTGGGGGTGTTTGATCCATAGGCAGGGCCCAGGGCTGTTTCACTCACAGGGCCCCAAGTCCCTGAAGCACAGTTGGGGGATCTGAGCTCAGCACTAGACGTTCCCTCAGGACCTGCCCATGGACACGGCATTTCCTCCTGGGTCGATTAGAATAACTGCAGGGATGGGGTAGATGAGAGCAGAATGAAAATCCAGGCTCCTCGGTGAGCGGTGGTCACGATGAGAGCCTCTTCCCTTACCTAGACGTGCGCAGGGGTCTTGATGGGCCCGAATCCTTCAGCATCACTGACTTAACAACCCTTCTATAAGAGGGTCACCCCAATACAGGGGTCTGAGTACACACAGCAGGAGCCTGTGTCACAGCAACAGGTGAGTTCAGCCTTCTCGGAGCAACAAACTCTCACTGCCACCATATGTGTTTCAGTCTCACAGTCTTTAAACTTTGATAGGTCAGAGTTTGCATTCAAATGTGATTTCTATGAAATAAACCCTGGCAGGGCGGCCTGGGGGTGGGGAAGGGGCCTTCTCTTGTGCTCTATGAGCCCGACTATGCCCTTGCAGGCTCCCGCGTATGGTTCTCTGTGTGTCCGTTAAATCAAAGGTTCTTTGCCTGTCGGTGCTGCTAATTAAGAGCGGTGGAGACTGAAGCTTGCAAGGAGCCCTTACGCCCGGTCACCATCAATTTGTAGCATCTGCAGAGCATTGCTGCTTCTGCCACAGGCTCTCAGCTGAGGGGCACCAGGAGGAACAGCTGGGCTGTCAGGCCTCAGACATCTGCGCCCTGGGTGGTTTTTGTTAAGGCCTGTGTCACTGTGGAAGTATAACCCATATAATGCTGACAGTAGTAAGTGGCGGCATCCTCAGGCTCCAGGCTGCTGATGGTGAGCGTGAAGTCTGTCCCAGACCCGCTGCCACTGAAGCGGGCTGGGATGCCATCGGGCCTGCTGTTTGCATAATAGATGAGGAGCCTGGGAGCCTGCCCAGGTCTCTGCTGGTACCAGTTTAAGTAGTTGCTAACACTCTGACTGGCCCTGCAGGAGATCGTGGCCCTTTCTCCTGGAGACAATGATAGGGAGGCTGGAGACTGTGTCAGGACAATTTCTCCAGAGGTGCCTAAAAGAGGAAACAGAACACATAGGTCAGCCTTGTGATCTCTATCCTCACTTTCTCCCTGTACAGCCAGGAAGCCTGGTCATCACTGAGCTCCCATTATTGTCTTGCTGGGCGAACAGCCAGGTCCTGGGAATCCATCACCCAAACTGTCCTCTGAGGGCAGCTCCCTCCGGGTCCCTCACCTGGGAGCCAGAGCAGCAGGAGGCAGACAAGCTGCGCTGGGGCTTCCATGGTGCCCTGTGTCCTGGCTGAGGCAGCTCTTGCCCAGAGCCTGCCCAGCCTGATATGGGCCCTGGGCAGCAGGGGGCTGGGGGCATGCAAAGCAGGGGTGGGCACCCTGGCCTGCAGCTGCAGAGACCAGAGGCCTCATGTTCTCTGCACTTGAGCAGCCACCCGCACGTTACAACCCAGTCACACAGGGGGTGTCTGCTCCAGGTCTTATGAAAAGAAAAGGCTTTTTTCTGGTCTCACTTTTTTCCTTACTATGATTGTGCATCTTCTTTGGTGCATGACTGGCTGGGTTGGATTGAGGACTTTATCATCAATGATTTTCCTGACACCCCTTGCCCTGCTCTCATGTGCCCTTTCCTGAGGACTTCAGACTTTCCTCATTTTTGTGGGATCATAAAGACACAAATAACGATTTGGTTTAGGGACAGTCACCATCGCACAGATGAGCAGGACCAGCTCGTAGCCCCACAGTGTGTTGACTGAAAGCATTTCCCTGAAGAGAGGGGTGTTCTGAGAGCAGGTTGCTGCAGTGTCCTGCCCTTCACACTGTCCCATCCTGCCTGGATCCTCTGTCTCACCAGACAAAGCTCCATTCTCTTAACAAAGTCTTTCCCCCATATGCTAGATATATGTTGCCTGCAGTGTTCATGGTGATCCAAACGCTTCAGCCTCACTGACCTGAAAACCCTTCCATTAGGATGGATCTCTCGGATTTTTTTTGTTCAGCAAAATAGCACTATTGGTCCATGACTTTGCGAACCTGGTGTTTGAGATCCAGGCTGCAAAGATGTACTGAGACAAAGTTTTGGAAAAGCAGGGTGTCCTGAGAAGACTGGGGTGGCTGTGTGGGCGATGGTGTACAAACTCCTGGGTAGTCTTGTTCGTCACAGTGCTCACAACCCACCTGGTGCTGTGCCCGTGATCCTCCAGGATCTCTGACTCCTACGGAGAGTTAATTTTATTCACAGTATCTTTCAGGACACAGTTCTCCTCTGAGTCATCTACTCAGTAAACTTGAAATAAAGATAAGGATTAGAGATATGCCAAGAAATGTTGGATTCTCAGGTATGTTGAAGCCACGGGACACATCCTGGCCGCAGGTAAGGCTCAGCCTTTCATCACAGGGCAGCTTTGCTCACACCCAGAACACAGGGCTCCTCATGGTCTCCATCTCCAAAGACCTATCCAACCTGAGGGTCCCTGTCTCCAAAGCCCCATCCCTGTGATGCCTGGACAGCCCCCCTGGCCTGCCTCAGCCTGAGTCTCACTCTACTGTGGGATTTGCTGCCCTCTAGTGGCCGATCTGGGATATAGAACTTGCAGATACTTGACGGGGCAACTGGAGAATCTAGTATGTGAGACTTTCACTGTTTTTCAGGAAGCTGAGACAACTACAGACTATTCTCAGGGAAGTCTCTGTAAGGCCTTAAAATGAGTCCTTTCCTCGATATACATGAAATCTAGGTGGGAACAAAGACTAACCTGTGACCTGAATTCAGGCTGGATATTCGTCACAGTGAAGGACCAGGTATTGGATTCACTGAGTGCGACGCCAAAGTGCTGGTTTGGGATAAGGCTTGGGCAGGAGGGAGCAGAGGGAGAATGGGCGGCCAGGGCAGGAAGCAGAGGGCTCCCGAACTAGATCTGTCAACCCAGCCTCATGCCTCCTTGGCAGCCCAGTGATCCCCCACAGATGCCCCAGTAGGGAGACATCCAGAACAAGCAAAGGTGAGGTTTGCATGTGACCTGTAAACCTTGGGTTACCAAGTGCAATATTTGACCCTTCCTTGAAAATGGAACTTACTCTGAATATGCAAAAGTCACATCTGTGCCCTCCAGTATGGTAACCCTGGACTGTTCACCATGTAATATATACAGTCACTGGGGAGTCAAGTTTCTAGTTGTATGTAAGTTGAATTAAAAAATGTAGATTCAATGTTGTATTCATTCAAAAGTAAATATGACTATATATTTTCAACCATTGGCATTCAGTAAAAGTTTGTTAAATTACTCCACTGACAGACAATTTTTAGATAAAGTAAATATCCCCAAAAACATAGCATACCTCTTATTTATCACCTGCCATCTTTTAAAAAGCAGATTCTTATTTAGTAGGTCAAAAAGGGGCTAGGTGTTCACACTGCAGTTTGTCACCAATAATGATGAAGTTGATGAATTGCGGACAAATTTTGAGCAGCACATTGAAGTAAAATAATTTCCCTAATGCATCTAAAAGGAAATGAGTGTTGTCTACTCATTGTCCTACGATGACACTATATTCCATACAAACACTAATTTTCTGTTTATTCTAGGCAATTGGTAGCATCCAGGAGTGTTCTGGAAGCTAGTCCCACTGGAAATATTCTGAGGAATGGAAACTGTGAGTCTACTGGGCTGTCTGCTGCTCAGGCTTCATGATCACTCTAGAAACACATTTCCACACTTTGTGCATCTGTGACTGGCCCGTGGAGTGGTTCACTGTGTCCTCTGGGCTCCTGGAAGCAGACTTAGGACAGCAGTGACAGTGGAGCGTCCCTGGTGGCAGCTCCAGGTGCTGAGATCAGCAGCACCCTCAGCCTGGCTCCTGGACACACCAGAGAGGTCGGAGGCACCCAGTAAGGCAGCCTGTACCTCAGGAACAGGGGTTCTGACTTCTGGGGGAGCAATGAGAATCACCCACTTGGACCATATGCTTCGATTGGTCACAGACTCCTTAAATTTTGAAGGTATAAAGGTTAGACTCAAACTCCATGTATTAAAAATAAGAACTTACTTTGACTCTCTAGGAGGCTTATCCCTGCTTTGGGACCCCCTGAGAGCATAAGTCCAGTTCCCCGAAGTAAGCATCTCTGTGTTTGCTAAAACAGCAGAAGATCTGCCTGCGTGTTGCTAGGGCCTGGGGCAGGAGTGGAGTTCGGAGGAACAATTGGGGTTCTCAGGAGCCTCCAAGTCCCTTATTCCTTAACTTTACTTTCAGCTTGAAAGCATTGCAGCTTCTGACACAGGCTCTAAACAGATGGGGCACCAGCAGGAGCAGCTGGGGCGGCCTGGGCTCCCACCAGGCACCGGGGTGGTTTTTGTTCAGGCCTGTGTCACTGTGGGAGGTGCACTATTACTCTGGTAACAGTAGTAAGTGGCGGCATCCTCAGGCTCCAGGCTGCTGATGGTGAGCGTGAAGTCTGTCCCAGACCCGCTGCCGCTGAAGCGGGCTGGGATGCCATTGGGCCTGCTGTTTGCATTATAGATGAGGCGCCTGGGAGCCTGCCCAGGTTTCTGCTGGTACCAGTGTAACCAGTTGTTGCTAAGACTCTGACTGGCCCGGCAGGAGATTGTGGCCTTTTGTCCGGGAGAAAGTGACAGGGAGGCTGGAGACTGTGTGAGGACAATTTCTCCAGAGGAGCCTGAATAGGAAACAGAACACACAAGTCAGCCTTTTTGTCACTATCTTCACTTTCTGCCCACACAGCCAGGAAGGCTGATCATCCCTGAGCTCCCATTATTGTCTCACTGATCGAAGAGCCAGTTCCCGGGAATCCACCCCCCAAAGTGTCCTCTGAGGGCAGCACCCTCCCGGGTCCCCTCACCTGGGAGCCAGAGCAGCAGGAGGCAGAGAAGCTGCGCTGGGGCTTCCATGGTGCCCTGTGTCCTGGCTGAGGCAGCTCTTGCCCAGAGCCTGCCCAGCCTGATATGGGCCCTGGGCAGCAGGGGGCTGGGGCATGCAAAGCAGGGGTGGGCACCCTGGCCTGCAGCTGCAGAGACCAGAGGCCTCATGTTCTCTGCACTTGAGCAGCCGCCCGCACGTCACAACCCAGAACACAGGGGGTGTCTGGTCCAGGCCCGAAGAAAACAAAAGCTGTTAGTCCCATTTCTTACTTTGTATCTAATTCAGTACATCTCCCCTGGTGATGGAAGGCTGGAAGCGTTGGGCTGAGGAGTTTATCAGCAAAGATATTCCTGACACCCCTTTCCTCTGTTCATCAAATGTGGGCCCCATATTGCCTGCTCCTGTTAGGGATCCACAAAGAAACGAACACTGAATCATGTCCAGTGACATGGGGCAAGGACTGTCCCCACCGCACGGATGCATAAGCCAGGCCCTGACCCCAGAGCACTGACACCATTTCCCTGGAGACGGGGGTGAGTGTATTGCTGCAGTGTCCTGCCGTCCGCACTGGCCCACTCTGCCTGGAGCACCTGACTCAGCAGACTGGCTCCTCACTCTTTAAAAATCTTCCTCCTCCATATACTAGACATATGTTGTCCGCACTGTATTCAGGGTCCACATATTTCAGCATCACAGACCTAAAGAATCCATCCCTCACATAGGTTAGAACAACTGTTTCTGTTCTGAGCAAACTGTCAGTGTCATTTCCATGACCGTCACAACTGGGTGTTTGAAACACAGGAGCAGGGATGTGCTGAGATGGAACCCTGAAAGGGCGGGGTGTCCTGAGGAGACCAGGGTGGGGTGGCTGTGGGGCACTGGGGTGGAGCTGCTGGGTGGTCACAGTCCGTCTGCCCCTCCCGGATCCCCCCCCCGGTGCTCTCCCTGCTGCTCCAGGATCGCCGACTCCCGCAGAGTCCACCTCACGCCAGGGTCTCCCAGGACGCGGTTGTGCTGGAGTCACCTGCTGGAACCTGGGAGGGGCCGGCAGGGACAGAGTGTTGGGGAGAAATGTCAGACCCCTGTTGGTGCTGAGGCCTGAGGAGCTGGTGGGTTTCAGAGCTGCGAGCAGGAGTCAATAGTGACCATGATGGGGGGATGCGACCACCAGCCCCCTCCCTGGGACTGTCAGAGCATGTGAGGGCTAACGGGTTATCCATGCTGGTCAACAGAGTTAAACTTTTTTTTTTTTTTATCCAAAGCTACTTCACATTAAAGACACGTCACTGTGACCCCAAACATGAAGCTGAGTCTCGTGTTGCTTGTTGCATTGTCGTGTAATTATGTCTTTAGTGTTAGAGCTAATTTGGATGTCTGTTAGGGTCTGGGTCTAGGTTTCCTTCCTTCCTCTGTCTCTGCCTCTTCCACTTCTCCCTCCCAACATTTCCATTTTCCTTCTTCTTTTCCTTCTTCTTGCATGTGGATGTCCAGTGTTTCCAGAACTATTTGATCAGAAATTCATCTTTGCTCATTTTTACTTCACTTTTTCTTTGTCAAGATCAGTTGGTTCCGCTGTCCATGTGAGGTCAATTTGGGTTCCCATTTCTGAGCCAGATCGCTCTGTTAATTCTTCAGCACCTTGCTGACTTCATGATTATGCTGTAGAGTGAGTGTTAGAACTGGTGCCTGCACCCAGGTGGGACAATTTCTCCCTCTTGGACAAAACCCCAATTACTGATCAAGGTATTTTATCATCATTAACAAAGAATCATATTTTTCATGTTTGATTCTCTTGAATAAGTGTTATCTCATTTAATTTCCTGTTAAATAGACAGTAAATCTGGGAGTGTCTTTCAAGAACTGTCTTTCAGTAAAATTTTTGTTACATGACTTTAATGACAAAGACAATTTTTTGACTCTGTTAAACCTCCCCCAAATACATCATGTGATACTGATCACCTGTGTCTTGTTAGAAATCAGATTCCCACTTAGTAAGCAGATTTGGGACTGTAATTTCAAATTGTACCAAACAGATGGTCAATGACGATACTGATCAGTTCTGAACAAATTTTGAGCTGTTTGGTATTTTCACAGTGAGATCAGATATTCACCCTCCACATTTAGCTATTTTTTTATGAAGAACATGTTTTCATTCACTGTCAACTGATTATTCTGTATTTCCCACAATACCTGATTCTCTGTTTCCAATGTGCTAAATGTTGTTTGCTTCTATGAGCCACCTTGCCGAAGGAACATGGGGACATACTCAGGGGTGCTGCATGTTGTCAGGCCCTCACCATCACAGAGAAACACACTTCCAAATGTTCTTGCCTCTGTGATTGTCGTGTGAGGGGGATTAGTGATGGGCCACCCATGAGCCTGAGTCCGGAAAGGGGAGCCACTGTGTCCCATCAGCTCCTAGGGACAGACCTGTACAGAGGACAGAACAGGGGTGCCCTGGTGAGCTCATCCCGGAAGCTGAGGGCAGCAGCAGCCCCACCCCTGGACTTCCAGGGCAACTAGAAATGCCTGAGGCCCATGAGGTAAGCCAGGTTGCATGGCTGTGACAGCGGAGCTCAGACTTCTTGGGAGCAACAAGCTCACTCATTTCTACCATCTGAATCTCTTGGTCTCACAGTCCTAAAAGTGTGAAAGATTAGAGTTTACATTCCAAGTGCCTGTTCTGAGAAATAAAACCTTGCCAGGACTGCCTGGGGGGGGGGCTTCGCCCCTTCTGTGTGAGTCCAAAGAACCATGGCCAGGTTCCCGGGTGTCATCTCCTTTGTGTGTGTAAAATAGCGTAGGCTCTGCCTGTGATGTGACAGGGCCAATGAGGTAGAGACTGAGGATTTCAAAGTGTCTCTTGCCATTCACCAGGATGTTACAGTGATTTTTAGAGCATTGCTGCTCTTGCCACAGTCTCTCAGCTGATGGGGCAACAGGAGGAGCAGCTGGGCGGCCAGGCCTTGTTCATCTGCTCCCTGGTGGTTTTTGTTCAGGCCTGTGTCACTGTGGGAGGTATGTAATCCTGCTGATAGTAGTAAATGGCGACATCCTCAGGCTCCAGGCTGGTGATGGTGAGCGAGAAGTCTGTCCCAGACCCGCTGCTGCTGAAGCGGGCTGGGATGCCATCGGGCCTGCTGTTTGCATAGTAGATGAGGAGCCTGGGAGCCTGCCCAGGTCTCTGCTGGTACCAGTATAATGAGCTGATAATAAACTGACTGACTCGGCAGGAGATCCTGGCCTGATCTCCTCGTGACAATGATAGGGAGGCTGGAGACTGTGTCAGGATAATTTCTCCAAAGGTGCCTGAAATTGGAAACAAAGCACCTAAGTCACACATGTAATCTTTATTTCACCCTGTCTTCCTAGCACAGACAGACAGTTTGATCACCACTCAGCTCCCAGTATTTTCTTGTTCAGCAAAGAACCAGGACCTGGGATTCCACCACCCTAAATATCCTCTAAGGCAGCCCCCTCCGGGTCCCTCACCTGGGAGCCAGAGCAGCAGGAGGCAGACAAGCTGCGCTGGGGCTTCCATGGTGCCTGTGTCCTGGCTGAGGCAGCTCTTGCCCAGAGCCTGCCCAGCCTGATATGGGCCCTGGGCAGCAGGGGGCTGGGGGCATGCAAAGCAGGGGGCGGGGTAAATCCAGTCAACAGCTGCAGAGACCAGAGGCCTCCTGTTCTCCCCACTTGAGCAGCCACCCGCACATCACTACCCAGGTTCAAATAAGAGTCTCTGCCTCTAATTCTCATTCCTCTGAAGCAGCTGCTTCCCTAAAGCAAGCCAAACTCTCATGCTCCTCTCCATGTTCTCCATGCCTACGAAACCACTTTGCCAGTGTTACTTCCCACGCCGTGACTCCTCTGCACACAGCAGGGTGAGAATTTCCCCCACAGCCATCATCACCCAGGTTCCAAAATCTAATCACCTGGAGCTCTCCAGTTACAGGCTTTGGTGAAGTCAAGCGTATCTTATCAGGCTCTTTCCTCAGTTTCCATACTGTGGAAATAGCCGTAGCTCCATGATTCTGTGTGACCTGGGGGTGTTTCATCTGCTGTTTCGCTCAATATAAAAAGCCCCTGAGTGTCATGCTTGGTGAGGAGGAGTCCATCCCCGAGTGTCTGTCCCGCTCACTCGTGTCTCCGGCTATGTGATCTGTCCTCCATGTCTGCTATGTCATGTCCACCTCTGCCATGGTGACCATTAAGTCGGGGATCCTTCCGCATATCAGAAATATTTCATCACTTTTCTCTCCGTGTCTTTCCCCATACCCGTGTTCCCTGAGCTCCTCAGCTCATTGCTTTTCCCTTTCATCTTCCTTAGGCAAGCTATTACCAACGTAACTTCACTCTTCCTAGACCAAGTGAAATCTTTGCATTTACTACTAAACTTGCACATTTCCCTACTACTATACGGATCTTCGTAAAGGAACTCAGTTCTCCACGACTGGGCGCAGAGTAAATCGAGTGAAACAACCTCCTGACAGGACTGTGACCACTGGAGACTTGGCCAGGATATCAGTGCAGATCAAGATGTGAGCATGAGGTGTGGGGAGTTGTCCACGGCCCAGCAATGACCGCGGGAAATTGGTTTTATCCTAGAGGGGTTTGATACTGTCATACATGTATTGAGGATAATCTGGACCAGGATTCTCACTAACAGAGGGAAGAGTTGTACATGAAAGAATTGTTAGGAAAAAATTGGTTTGGTTTTGGTATGGAGGCTGTCAGTGTCAACTCATTGCATAGAGACATAGACGTGAAATTGTGTGCTGAAACATACCTAGAAAATAGATAGTAAGCAGAGACATCCTACGTAGACAGGCAGTGGACAGGACCCGTTCACCTTGAGAGGGGCTCAGGGCATCGGGACCCTCAGGGGGAGGCAGGCTTGGGTGAAGAGGTTGAGGGTGCTGAGCAAGTTCAGATAAGAAAGGGGGGACATAGACTGGACATGTCACTAATGAGCTTCAAAGAATGAAACTGTTAACCTTAAAAAATCAGGTCCTTAGTTTATCCCCACAAACGCTCAACAGTGGGTCATCTTCCAGCACCTGGATTCCAGGGCTTTTGAGTCCTTGAACTTTGTGACTGCAAGGAAGGCCACTGAGTGTGTGTTGCTGGGGTACAGAGGAGCTAGGCAGGGAATGCACCCACGCCGTGTCTCAAGGCAAGTCTGAGTTTAGACATAAACTGTGGATTCAACATATACTTGCAAATTAAGCAAGCATTCAATGAGCATGTGACTATCTACCAGGCACTGTGCACTAGGCCCACTCACAACTCAGCAAAAAGCTCCTGCTATTGTGAAATTTACAAGAGCATGTGTGAGGTCATTTATCCTGTGCCCCATGGGACTGTCACTTGGCCCAGCTCTCTCTGCCACCAACCATACTTTTCATGGGAAATCAACTCCTGAACCAAAAGCCATATAGACAACATATCAAAGGAGCCTTAGAAAAGTTAACGCTCCTTTCCGTGTGTAAATTTCTTCATCCATAAATCAGAACATTTTAGATCCTATCATGTAATTTCCTATAAATATTTTAAGAACTAATACTAAGTCCACTGACTCATAGCCAAAGCTTAATAAACAACAAATAATTGTTATTATTAACAATTTCAATGACCCCTTAATGTGATGACTGCATGTTTGTGTCCCCCAAAATTTAAATGCTGAAACCCTAAGTTTGAGAGGGATTGTACAAGAGCTATGCCCTGCTAGAGGTAGTTAGGTTTAGATGAGGTCACGAGAATGGAGCCCCTGGAGTGGGCTTAAGGAGAGAAAGAGAATGAAATTCTCTCTGTTGTCCATGTGGGGAGACAGTGAGAAGGCCACTGTGGGAGCCAGGAATAGGGTGCTCCCCAGACACTTGAGGCACTGGGGCCTTGAAACTGAATCTCAAATCTCCAGAACTGTGCAAATTCATGGTCTGTGGGTTAAGCCCTGAGATCTATGTTATTTTTTGTAGGAATCTGAGCTTTGTAAAGCACTGTGCTTCACATAGCGAGTTAAGCAGGAAAACCTGCCCCAGTATGAAGCAGGCTGGGTCTTTTCTCTATCAAGTGGACTCTTTGTCTTTGTTCTTAGCCAAGACAATATCCATCTGAGCCTCCTCAGAGTTGCTTCAAGTCTACTGGACCCCTCGAACAAAAGGACATGAAATTAAAATTCTATAGAAGGATGTTTATTGCTGCTTTCTTTATAATAGGAAAGACATGGAATCAACCCAAATGCCCAAAGGTAGAAGACTGGATTAAAAAGAAGTGGTACATATATGCAATGGAATATTACTCAGCAATCAAAAAAGACAAACTCATGCCTTTGCGGAAACATAGATGGATTTGGAGGGATCATGCTTATGGAAATAAGCCAGAAAGAAAAAGAAAAACACCAGATGGTTTCATTCATAGCCAGTGTATAGGGACCAGGGGAGAAAAACAAGTATATATCAGAGATATTTTACAGGTGTGGAGTGGGGAATGGGGTCAAAAAATGGTGAGGGGAGACTGCATGGGACTATGATGATGGCACACGGGTGAATTGGCGATGGGATGTCCATGGGGATTACAACTGAATGGAAAACGTCAACTATAATAATAATAATCAAACATGTAAATGAAGGAAGGCGAGTGTGTGGTCGTTCATGATCTCCCTGTGGCCTGAAGGAATGAACGATACCTGCACACAGAGAAAACTCACCACCCCCTTGAAAGACCCTGTAAGCATCTCTTTGCACACTCGACTTGCCTCTGATCATTGTTTGCTTTTTGTGTTTACTCCAACTTTTATGAGCTGACCCTGTGCTCATTTTGGCCATCTCTCCAGTGGGGGGGGCGCCTGATGCACTTCTGTCCAGTGAAAGGTCTCCAGCACTAGCCACCCAATCTCTATATAAGGTTCCTAAGCCAAAATAAAATAAAGTTCTGAAGCTTCTGACATCAAAGAAAACCTCTGAATTTTTTACTCACTTCTGTAGAGTTGGTTGAGATGAAGGAGGCGACGATGATCAAATCATTGTCCTGAGTAGAGCCAGAAATCCCTCTCTTGGGGCTCCAGGGTGGATTCGCTTTCTGACCGGCTCCACTTCTCTGTGGCACCTACTGCAGATGATTTGTTAG